CCTTTGGTTATTTACCAAAAGAACGTCGTTGGCCAGATCAGCTCTTCGGAGGCACTGCTGTATAACTGCGGTAAAGTGGTCCGATATGAACGGTAGCTGAAAACGTATTTTATTTTCAGCTCTGTGTGGGAAAACTCTCGGTGTGCTTCGCGTGCGCCGCTGCTGCCAGGCTGTGTAACCGTTGAGATTAGCTATTCGGGTGGCTAATCTCCTGGATTCTTCTCGCTCCTCGTTGCCGGTGCAAACCCCTACGGCAGTTTTGTACATGTTTCGTAGCACTGCACGTTTGACAGCTCTGGGGTGTGCCGACGTTGCATGGACGATAATGTTCTTGGAGCTCTCTTTTCTATACCACTTCACATTGTACTGTCCATTTGATACCTTTATCTGAATGTTCAGATATGGTAACCAACCTTCGCGCGGTACTTCCCGAGTCAGCCTGATGTACTGCGATTGACTGTTGAGGATATCGAACAACTCATCCATTTCTGACTGAGTTCTTGTGATGACGCAACAGTCATCAATGTATCGGCAGTACAGAATGGGTAAGCGAGCCAGCACTGGACGTTCAATTCTGCTCATAAAGCAGACAGCGAGGACAGGTGCCAGCCGCTGCCCCATTGCAAGTCCTCTAGTCTGTGAGAAGTACCTCCCGGACCACTTGAATATATTGCAGTTCAGACACTCCCTGATAAGAACCATTATCTGTGTTTTGCTCAACCCAAACGTCATCATACTTCCTGCGTGCTCGTCAAGCATTTCTGAAACTGCTTGTAAAGCTTCGTTGTTGCTGACGTTTGTGTAGAGCGCAGACACGTCAAATGATTCTACAACACAGTCTTGCTGAAGTCTGCAAGAAGTAAGCGATCTAGGAACTGGCGCGTATTTGACAAATGTGATGGTATATACACAAGAAGTTGACCGACAATCTTGCTGAGTAACCATGAAATGCGATCGGTCGGTCCATTTACACAGCTTATAATCGGTCTTATTTTGAAGACCTCTGGCAGGCGGGAGTGCACGCTTTCAGCGGACAACTTGTGAGTTTTCACAAGACAAGAAACAGACGCGAAAGTTGCACCGCTCGGCAAGCATAGGAGGGAAAATCATGGCGGCTGTGATTTTGATATCAAGTGTACGATACTGGCTCGCGAAAATGATGTTGGTGCTAGGAAAACTCTCGAGGCTTTCTGGATAAAGCACCGTAATCCATCTATGAACAACAGGAATGAATGCATCTCAATAACTGCCGATTTCTTGCCCTACCCCTACATTCCACTTTGCGGGCTTTAACGGGAACGTCAGGCTTAAACAAAGTATTCCATCACACGAACCTGTTTGGCAAAGAAAGAAGTTATCAGTTCTATAAGGTCAATTGTGTTTCTGGAACTCATTGGAAGTATGAGAAGTAGTTTCCAAGAAGCGTGTTCGCAACTGAAGCCTAGAAAAGGTCGAAGTCATACAGGAAGGCGTGTTGATGCCTGTGGAAAAAGAGAGATGGGCTTGCTGTGGGGAGGGGGGAATCCTGCTCCTACTCAAAGTCCCACTGTCGCGTCGAGCCATTCTACTCTATATAACTCGCTAAGTATGTCTGTCCGTGTGTGTGTGTGTGCATGTGTGTGTATGTTTGTGT